ATCTCTAAGATAAAGCTTGATAATTATCTCCAACTTCAAACTTGATTTTGAAACAAAATATCTCTCCCTTATCCACGTGTCAATTTTGACTCAAATTCAAATACCAATTTTAAGTCAAACTTAAATTAATTTGAATTTCCATTGAACAACTTATCCAATAAGTTAATTGGATAACTATGGTGAGCAAGCAATTTGACTCTCAAAGGGGACGTTTGGTTCATGGATTCAGAACCATGATTCAGAATCATTTTCGTTTTACGTGTGTTTTTTGTGAGAGAAAATACTGTAGCGAGCCACGAACCATGATTCGAATCATGGCACGAATCCCTCTTCCAAACGTCCCCAAAGGGATTCACACTATGTTGTTCGTTCATACTATGTGAACATCTGCACATGTGTATTTCAAAATTGAAATTTAAACTTAAACTTAAATACTCACATTATTTAATTTATAATTAATTCTCAATTAATTAAATTAATTATCCTTGAGCGTTTTACTTAAAAATTCCATAATTCTAAAATTCTCATTTTGCCTTTAATGCCTTGTAGAATTATAAGGACAACGCGGGGACACATAAACCTATAATTCTGAGCTCCAATAAAATTATTAATTAATTAAACACTTTAATTAATTAATTCTACTAATTCCAGTAGTTACTCCACTATAAACTTAGAATTGTACTGTAACACCCTGAAGAATTAATTGGGATTAATTAAGGTAATTGAGATTATTAGTGTGCCTAATTTGGATTTATTAATTGAGTATTAATTAATAAATGTTTCTGACACATGTGAGTTTAAATAATTCCAAGGTATTTAAATATTCTCAGTATTTACATGTTTACCCAGAAGTATGTATGGGCACATTTCTGGACAGTTATTTTAAATTTAGTGACACTTGTCTTTTATTTCTTTTCTCTTTTTTTCTTTTTCTTTTCTTTTCCTTTTTCCTTTTTCCTTTTATATTCCTTCCTTCCCGTGCATTCACTCCCTTTCTCTTTCTCTTCACTCCCGTGCTCTCTCTCTCTCTCTCTCATTTTTATCCCAAATCAAACGGATCTTGAACCAAAGGGGAGTTTCAAAGCGTTCTCAACGTCAAAAGAAGGATTCAAGGTAAGATTTCTAAAAAGACCTCTCTTGAATCCCTAGATTTCAGATTCTAAAACTTATTTTTTGTTCGAAACGAATTTTTACGGATTTTTGAGTAAAACTAGGGTAGATATTGGAGATCTCGGGTTCTTTGGACTTGTCTTAGGACCTAGGACCCGGATCTAGTGGTTGTCTATTGAAATATTTTAGTTTGGGACTGGATTTGCAGGTTTTCAAATTGATTTCCGTGAGTTTTCTCGCACTAGAGTTCTTCACCGGTCGACCGGACTACACTGAGGCCACCGGTCGACCAGATTGTACAGCACCGGTCGACTGGTGGTGATGCACTATTCTGTCACTGGTCGACCGGTTGACACGAGGTTTGACCCTGTTTGGCTTGAAATTGTTGTTTTGACTCATGTTTTCGGGGAGAACCCAAATTAGCTTCATTTGAGGACTTGAGATAAATGGATTAGCATCTTTAATCCTTGATTTGAGATTGAAAACCCTTGGAATGATAATTTGAAACATGAAAATGGATTAGGGCACACTAATAGGAAATCTTGGTTGGTAATTGAGATTGGATTGCTTTAGGACTGAGAATTGATCCTAAAGTGTTGTTTCTATCAGTGTTAGCTGAGGATTCAGACTGAAGGGGCTTGTGAAAGCGGAAGCCGAAAAAAGGGCAATGCTAGTCCCAGGTTTGATAGTGCGAGGTAGGATTTCTATCCCTTTTCCTTGTGAGCCTGTTTTCAAAAAGGATTTTGGCCTTGAAAATGTTTTAAAGAAAATGGTTGGTTTGTGAAAGAAAAACTCTTTAAAAACCATGGCTTGTTTAGTTCATGGAATCCATGGCTTGTCCTGTCCATGGAATCCATAGCTTGTGTAGTCATGGAACCTCATGGCTTGCCTACTCATGGGGCCCGCGGCTTGAGTAGTTCGTGGGGTCATATTAACGATTTCATAATATTAAATGAATGGTTTCTGAAGATAAGAGATCTTGTGAACTGGTAAGAATATATTGCTGTAAGCCTAGATAGGATGTGGAGAGTGCATCCTCGGGGGCAGAACCTGAAACTCGGTCCGGATAGGCGAGGCACTTGGTAGGTGAGTAATTTGTACTAACTACTTGCTGATGCCTGTAATACAGTTATTTTCAATTATATTTTCCTTTGAGAAAAGGATGTGAGGTTACAGCTGCCTGTCGGAACTGAATGTCTTATTTTATTTACTTATTCATTTATTTATTCGTTGCTCATTTATTATTCATTTATTTATACAGTCATTTCAAACTATCCTACTAGGCCTTTCGCTCACATTTTATGTTTTAAATGTATTAAACCCCTCTCAGGAGATTCTAGCAGTGGTGCACAGTAGCTGGATATTTGCTACGGAGTAGCTGAGTTGTGCAGCTGTTGGAACAAGAGAGGACTGTGTTCATCCTCTGACATAAATGTAAGGAATCGAGAATTCTGTAAACTCATGTAATATTTAGATTTACTAGACTGTGGTTGATGTCTGTTGTAATTGATTATTTACATGTTCATGTATGTACAATGTCATATATCCTATGGATGAAGCCCTGTGTGTTGTCAGAGGCTCGGGACTTAGAAATTTATATTATATTTTAATGGAGTTAAGTGGGGCTCATTTGGGAATCTGCTTTATTAATCCTAATTGAGCTCCACGTCACCCACCCCGTTTGGGGGGCGTGACATGTACTCTTGTAATTATAGACATAAATTACTTCTAAACTGTGAAATGTTCATTTGATATAATCATTGCATATAGATCAATTCTCCATAAATAATTTATAGTTAGAGTTAGGTGAAATCCGTTAGGCCTCGTTCACTTCGTAGATTCGAGTTTTCAATTCGAGCTGAGATGTGACATTTTCTGAGAGCTTTTCACTGTAGCAGAAAAAGTTAGATGTGACATTTTTTGAGAACTTTTAACTGTAGAAACCTAAAATTGAAAACTCGAATCGGTGAAATGAACGAGGCCTTAATCTCTCTAATTACATTGTTATTCTTGAGTACTATTGATTCTTTAATAGACAGTGATTTATAAAATAAATTCATGAATCAGAGCGCTCGTACTGGTCCAAGTATCGAATTAATCCTCAAAAGAATTATTTATCTACTTCTTTTTCAAGAAGGAATAGATTCTATCTCGTATAATAACATTCTGGGTTACTCACTTCATCATGTCTTCAAAATACAAGAAATATGACTCAGGATCTCAGAATCTGTATGGAGTAAATCAAAACACGCAAAATCATAACTAGTCATGGAATTTTCATAAATTAATATTCATTAATATATGCACAAAAAAATGAATAAAACTAATTTATTAAATAAATAATAAATATTTTATTACATCTCATGTTTCTGAAACACTATATCCTATAAAAAAAAGATAAGAAACGAAAAGTAAAAAAATTAAAAAGAAAGAAAAAAAACCAAAAATCAAAACATGAAGGAATAAATGAGAGGTTGATACATGACTAAACGAGAAACATGCTCTTTTGACTCTTTTATATGAAGAAAATATTAAACAAGATGTCGTTTTTTTTATTTTTTTTATTTTTTTATAGAATAACTGAAAGATGCCGTTCTTATTTTAGAACTTGCTCTGATTTGAAAGTTACAACAGCATTTCAATTTTATTTTAAAAGGCCGTTGCCTTGCAGGTTCAAAAAACGATACAACGTAACAGAGTTGTTGTCGTTTACCTGAACGACGGGCCTTTTCTAGTTGATCTCAGTATTACAAATTCAAAACATTTTTGAAAAAAAAAAGAAAAAAATATGTTTATATCCTGTTTATTTCACTGATTCAAGTTTAGAATTTGAGTTTTGCTAAAATTTTTAAGAAATAATCACATCTAAAGCATCGTTTATTTCACCGATTCGAGTTTTCAGTTTTAAGTTTTTACAGTAAAAAGCTCTCAGAAAATGTCACATTTACTTTTTTTGCTACAGTGAAAAGCTCTAAGAAAATGTCACATCTCAACTCGAATTGGAAACTCAAATCTGTGAAGTGAACGAGACTTAACTTTTTTACTACAGTAAAAAACTCTTACATAAAATTATATATTAACTCGAATCAACGAACTAAACGAATTCTTAATTTTCAATTTCACTCGGACCTTTTCTACCTCCCACGTTCCCCCCACATAATCCATAAAATATGAAACTTTAGCGACCACTAAGACACCGACGGTCCACAAAATTCCACTGAAATTACAATAAAAAAGAATTAATATAACAAAAGAAGTACTGAATAGTCTGTAAAAAAAAAGAAATGCTGAACAGTTTATAAAAAAAAAAACTCTGAACAAGTTAATTAGTTCTCCTCTCTAATCAGCAAAAAAATAAAAAATAAAAAAGTTGATTTTACAAGAAAAGAGCTTACGTCCTTAAATTTTAACTTCATTTTCAATTTATCTAATAAATTTTAAAAATTTTTATTTTATTTCTTAAATTTTAAATTATTTTTATTTAAGACATTCTGTTATAATTTTTGTTAAAAATAAATAAAAAAAATAATATAATCACGTGATCTTTAAATTTAAATTTCTGTTAAAAATAAATAAATAAAAACTATATAATTGCACTTAATTTTTTATTTTTCTGTCTGATTTTAATAAGAATTACAATAAAAAATTAAATAAGAATAATTTAAAATTAAGAAATAAAATAAGAATTTTAAAAGTACAAAATAGCTTTAAAATTCGAAATAGCAGTGAGAATAATCTAAAAAAAATAAAAAACTAAAATAAGAGTCAATAGGTCAGACAAAGACGACCATTGCTCCAAATCCTGCCACGCGTTCCATCACCGGCCATTTCTTCGCTACAAGAATACGACCAAAAAACAAAGAAAAAGAACCATCAACCACAGTGTTTGATTCAACCGTCATTTTTCAAGTCTCCTCTTTCACTCCACTCCACAAGTCCAACTTCTCTCTCTCTCTCTCTAAAGCCTTCAACTTTATTTCTCTAAAAAAGTCCGGTCGCTGTGTTTACCGGCGATCGTCCGCCATGGACGCGGCCATGCACTTCGTCTGCTGCGGAATCGAGCCTCTTCGCCCGAACGTCCCGAACCGGAGATCGTCGCCGTACAGAGGATGTCGGATTCCCAAACGGACCGGACGGGTTTTCGCCGTCGCCACAGAGCCGAAGCCGGTTCGGACCGGTCCAGCGAAACCTCCGACTCCGAACGGCGTCAATGGCTCTGCAAGGTCTCCGTCGTCCAGAGCCGTCAATGGAGTTTCCACGGTGAGTTGATCGTGAAACAAGAACAGAATCTTGGTGCTTTGTGTGGAATTTACCATTGTGCAAATGATTTGATTAGGTTTCTGCTTGTGGAAAAGAGGAGTAGCTTAGCAAAGATGAGCTAAGAATTTGATAGAAGCGAAATGCAGTTTTTCGATTCAACTTAAATTTCTAGTTTACTTTTTCATTATATAATTATTATTATGATTATTATTATTTTTTATATCTATGTTATAGTCAAGTAAGCCAAGACTTATTTTTTCTACCTGGATTAGTAGTTAGTAGTTTAGCGGATTTTTTTTATTTTATTTTATTTTATTTTAAATTTTCCAAACAATGAAAGCTCTAAAAGTTTCAACGATTTTGGAAGGAATTTTATTCCTAAATCATGGATTGGCAATTTGGCATTTATTGAAAAGGAAACACTTATCTCGTTATTTATTTTATTTGGTTGGTTTATGATTGCGATCACAGTTATCAGTACACAGATAGTTGCCTGTTAGGTCTTACAGATTTGATAATATTAAGAAACTTATAAGCGAGTGGTTGTTCAATTGTATTTACGTTTCTTGGTCTTGGAAATGGCAGAGAATAGGAGAGGTTTCACAGGAAATAAAGAGGGTAAGAGCGCAAATGGAAGAGAACGAAGAATTGGCAATCCTCATGAGAGGTCTTAGAGGACAGAATTTGAGGGATTCGCAGTTTGCTGAGGATAACATTAAGCTTCGTCTTGTTGAGGTATATACTTTACTATCTGGATTTTCAGTTGAATGATATTTGGTTATTTTTCTGTAAGATTCGTGTAATTTATCACCGCAATGAATTGTTTAAGCCGCTCATTGTGTTCAGAATAGTACATTCCATTCTTGGAACTGGGGGAAAAAAAAAGAGAAAAAAAAGAAAGCCGTGTTAAGAGTCAGAGGCTTGATACTGAGTATACAAGTTTCAGTTTTTTATTCAAAATTCTGGGAAATAGCTTAACCCTACGTGTGTGTGTTTTTAGGGGCTTTAATTGACTTTTTTTAATCTTCTTAGGAATTAGTAAGCTTTTAGTATGGAATTATTGCTATAATGAAATATGCTATACGTTTTAGGCCTTTTCTATTAAAAGCATTAAAAATTGTCCGATGATAAATACATTATAAAAGGATGCTACACTTCATGCTTTTTTCCTTGCGAAGCCTTGATAGCGAAAGCTTTTTGAGTCTAACAATCTGCTTGCTGTTACTGTTGGTTGATGATATTTGTACTGTTTGTGCGTGCATAGGTAGATGAAAGCAGTGAATTTCTGCCTTTGGTATACAATCCTGATAGCATCTCTGCTTATTGGGGAAAACGTCCACGTGCCGTCGCTACACGTATTGTCCAATTACTGTCTGTTGCAGGGGGTTTTCTTTCACGTATTGGATTGGATGTCATAAACAAGAAGGTCAAAGAGGTAAAATACTTGTCATCCTGCTTTTGTTTTTGAGCTTCTGGTGCTACATTAAATCTTCTTAGACATCTTCTACCCAAAAAAAGAAAAAAAAAAAAAATCTTCTAAGACAGTTAATCAATTCAAGGACAACTACATTTATATATTATTTCATATTTCAGAGGTGAGTTCTGCTAAATCTCGTATATTATTTATTTTTCTTTTTTTTCACCTTTTTCCACTATGGGTGTAAGAATTCTTAACTACTGTTATTGTGGCACAAATTTTATCCATCTTGTGACAACAAAATATGGATTTTTTGACTTCTAGAACTTTATATGCATAATCAATCTAAAATATGTACTCTTTGATTCTATCATTTATTTTATTGTTAATTTCCTATTCTCAGAATGAAGTTGCGAGAGCAATTGAGTTAAGGGAGATAGTGACCTCTTTAGGTCCAGCATATATCAAACTTGGTCAAGCATTGAGCATTCGTCCAGATATACTGTCACCTACTGCAATGATTGAGCTGCAAAAGCTTTGTGATAAGGTAAATTTATTTTGGCTTCTATTGTCTGTTCTTTATTGAGTTTAATTATCAAGTGAATTTAAAGTAGGTAGCAGTCATCCTTTACATAAGTGGCTCGAGAAGCAAATAAGTGAAATAATGACAGTTGCTACATTAAGTTAGTGATTGTTACCAAAAAGCAGACTAAGAACTGTTTGTTTGTTTGTGATTTTCTTCATTTTCTTTTTGTAGCTGATTTTTCTGCTTCGTGATTATGAAGGTGCCTTCATTCCCAGATGATGTAGCAATGGCTCTAATTGAGGAGGAGCTTGGTCGACCATGGCAACATATCTATTCTGAACTCTCATCTTCACCAATTGCTGCTGGTAATAATGTCTCTGACATTTATTTTAAAAGATTATACTTTCTTGTTGTTAGTGAACAAAGTTTAGCCTTTTGAAGTTCATAGAAAATATGTTGTCCATTCATGTGGTGTAAATCTGTTATCTATGGCAGCATCACTTGGACAAGTGTACAAGGGCCGATTGAAAGAAAACGGTGATTTGGTCGCTGTTAAAGTGCAAAGACCTTTTGTTCTTGAGACTGTAACAATTGATCTGTACATCATACGGAATCTTGGTTTGGTTCTGCACAAGTTCCCTCAGGTACGTTTTAAGACTTAGAATCACTGAACTCCCTCAAATACTTACGTGCTTTAAATGGGAGATTATAGCGATAATGATTTCTCTTTCCC